TATATATATATATATATATATATGTTCAAAGAACAGAAAACTTTGTTTTGCGTTCATGAAATTGGGGTAGGTGCACGTATGAGATAACGCCTTATTATCGGAAAAAGAAGAGCGGAGTCAGTTTACAAAGTCCGTTTTGGAAATCTGTTACGTTTAGTGCTATAAAGATAATTAATAAACTTAAGGGAATGTAGGTCATTTCACTACGCCGAAAGTTGTGGCCGTATACGAACACATATATGGAATGTCGCGAAATTTTATTCATTTTCTCGTTTATGGCGTATGCGAAAGATTTTTAAACATTTCTTATCCATCGGCAGAATCAGTGAATAGAAAAAATTGAAACAGAACGGACAGAAGTTTATTAGTTTTAGCAAAATCGTCACTGATGTTCTGCCATTACTTTCTGCTTTTTTTATCTCAGAACGGAGCGTAAACGTAAGGGCGTATACTGAAAACTGCGCCGGTATACAAAGGAGAGTGATTTCTTTCATTTTCAACAGAAGATGTTTCTCTTCTGTTTAGGGAAGTCAAAAACTGGTTAAAATGTCTTATTCCGATCTTGACGTAATCTTCAAAAAAGGTAAAGTACGTAGGCATTCGACGCCAAAATATGTTATAAAAACGGTTTTTCAAAAGGTATTTTGCTATAGGAAATCTTAGCATTAATCCTAGGCGTATTTATTCGCAACTTTTCTCGTGGACGTTTATTTTTCTCTGCAAAAAGTTGACGTTTTTGTGTGATCCGAAAACCATGCTCCATACAGACAGTCACCTGAGAAAGAATGTTTAAAAACTCATCGTTTACGTAGATGCTTTTAAGAAATGTCTTATTTTGAAGGTTTTGCTACGCACGTAGAATATAATACTTATTTATGGCCCATCGACTGAAACCACAGAAAATCGTAGTGTTAACCAACTTTTCAAAAACGACCTAAACCTCTTCGTAATTGAAATCCCGAAGTAATTACAAAGAAATGTGACGGAAGGAAAGTCCTCTTAGTGTGCACAAAACGGTACGTTTACGATTGCACATGAGAATTTCATTTAAACTTATTAGTTACTGACCCGCATGTCCGCACGTGAGCTAACGAAAGATCTCATTACTGTAACCTTCCAATCAACGTAATCAAACAAAAATCTGGTTGCCTTCGTCCCCCATAACTCCAACAATTTAGAAACAGAAGAAGCAAATAGAAATACTCCTGAAACCATGTTGGAATAGATACTCGAAGTTTGGGCTGTTCGACAACTGCCATACGTTACATTGCGCGTAATGTTGAAGCATATGTGTCCAAAAATTTTACAAAACCATTATTTTCCAACGAAATTCCACTTGTGCTTCTTTATTCACTCGCATTTTTTCATTAACAAACTTCCTCTAAATTTGAATTTTAAGTTTACCTAGTACTCCTGATTTCCACTTTTTCGGAATTTTCCGCTTTTCTAAAAAGCTGGTATTTCTAGGGAACGTAATATTACTTTATAAAGTACAGAATGCTCTCTTTTTGAGAACCATTGTCCCTTTACTACTGTTAGGCTTTGGGAGGACGCTATGTGAGCTGCGTTTGCATAACAGGGAGTCTCTCATAAATATCCTTGGATTTCATGAATGATCACATGGGTCTTTGGGTCAGCCAGTGGGAAAACAGCCGCCTGTGAAGGTTCCCGCCATTGACGCAGTAGGCATTGAAGAAGGTAGTGGGGCAGCATTTATGGCTGTCCGCCAGGCTACCAATGGAACTGTGGGTTGTCCGCACCCCCCTAATCGGCTGTTTACCCTTCCTAGGCAGACGCAACACAACATATGAGGGCTGGGAACCCTTGCTCTTATTAATTAACTGCGGACTGGCGAATCCTGACTCAAACAGTTTGTGGCTCACGCGGTTGTCAGCTCTTACGAGAATGTTGGCCCTGTCAGACATAAGACGGTGGCCAAGTGTTCCAGCGATCGCGTCTTCCTTTCCTGAACCTACAAAGTCTTTACACCGGAGTTGCACGGAATGGCCACAAATTTTTCACAACTGAGTCAACTGAATTACACAAATCTGCCAACGCCCCCCCCACCCTCCCCCTTATAATTAAGTGAATTCTATATGATTGTTTAGGAAATCTTGTCTGGGCAGTCAACTTTCTGTATCCGTAATGGTGGATTCTATACGAGCAGTAGGTTGCGCAAATAAATCGACCTAAGTGTGAGTAAATTCCAAGACTCGGCGTGCATTCATAGCTCAATGGTAGAGCGTTGGCTGTACAAAATCTTTCCCTGCTCTGTCGGTTCGAATCTTACCGAGGCCACAAATTTTTCACAATTATATCAACTGAATTATTCAAATCTTCTAACCCTCTCCCCCCTATTAATAAAGCGAAAAGTCGTTTTTCGGGCAAACTTTTATATTACTCGCGGCCTGACCGGTGCACTCTTAAGCTTCCACTCGCCTGGCGCTAAATTTTGTCATACACTTCTTCGAAGCACTGGCTGGTTGGAAATATCAAGTCCCTTAAAAAGTACTTCTTTCTCCTTCTGAAACCTATCCTTCTAAAATTTGAAAATCTCTTTCGCATAAGACATGTTCTTCGATGAATGACAGTGCGTGAATCCACAAGTTTCCCGAGCAGTGTCTTTAATGGAGATGGAAGGGGAGGAATGTAGACGTCTGTTGTACCTACTAACGCAGACTTGGCCAACTAACTAGTAGGAAATAGACCAACAAAATAAATTTCGCAACACATATTGTAGTTAACTTTACTAATGAAAACTTATGATACAAGTAATCTGAATTGCAGCCGTGAGGAGATGCATACTGCTTTATGGTTCCGTAGTCTCTATGCACCTTCACTGACTATTTCTAATTCCCTCATCACTCTTAAAACAGTCTCTTCCGTAAAAGGAAGACCAGCGACTTGCACAGCCACCG